GTTTCTTTATATGATGGAGGGCGTCGTGCCCGGGCTGGGGGAGGCGGGCCCGGGCCCGGAGGTGGAGCCGGCAGAGAGGAGCGGGGACTTGGCGAGCTGGAAAACATCTGAGGCAGTGACACATACCCATTGCTGGTAAACACGCGCTGCGGGCGGGAGGGCGTGCAGCCCGGCGCCCTCTCTGCGTCCCCGCTGGGTTGGGTTTTTTAAATCTATACAGACAGACACAAATACATAAATAGTCCGGGGAAACTCCTACCTGTGAGAGCCGGGCGGCTTTTACTGTAAAGACCCAGCTCGCTACACCCACCAGAAACGTCCTAGACGGCGCCGGCCGGGCCCCCGGGATGCTCGAGGAGACGGCGGGGGCATCCGCCCACCCACCAAGGCCGTGCCCGGGGTCGCTACCCTCTACCAGCACCCTCTGCGACCCAAGCCGACTTTGCCTGGGCCACAGAGCCGGGACCGTGGAGGGGGATGAGGCACGCACCCGCTCCCCGTTACCCCGGGGCGCGGGCTCTCCCCGTCCAGCCTATACCGTGTTTTGCATTCCCTAAGGTGTGAAATGGGGTCAAGGTGGGCAAGAGCAGCGGCGCCGAGCCCCGCAGGCACCGAACCCCGACGGGGCGGCAGAAGCCAGAGTGGGGCAGCAGCCGGGGCGGCTCTCGCCCTCCTGAGCCTAGGGCATGCTGTCTCAGGAAAGCCCATCTCAAGGCACTAGGACGCAAACCCACTTGCTGGCCTGCCTTCAAAGCCCCCTGCCCTAATGTGGTGGGAGCTGGTGGATAAAGGAGCGAGGTCCGGGCTTGCATGAAAGTCTCTCTTACCGCCTTTCAGGTTTCAAACACGTGTTTCATGCCACGACACTTTCTTGTTGTTGTTCTGTTCTAACGTCTCCAACACACATCCACATCCTTTCTGCTGTAACGTATCAGATCAAAAAACCAGTCATCGTGCACTGTGCTGGCAGGCTGCCGGCGTGGAGGGTACACACAGAGTTTAGGATATTAATTGCAAATCTTCAACGCCATCTTCTGAAATTTAAATGTAATTATCGCCACATTTTGAGGGAGAAGTGAGAACTGCAGGCATTTTTAGATATTGGGCTTATAACCACACGATCCATCCTCTAAAAAAAGAATTGGCAGTGCCCATCTGAAATCTTTTCAGTCCTGAGTTAAGGCACCTTTGAAACATTAAAATACATCTTTGAGATTGGAGGTGACTGCCACCATAAATCAAGATGAGCAACCGCAGCTTTACCAAAAGGCATCTGAAAGACTTTCTAAAAATCCAATTTCAATTCCTAGGGGTAAGATTGTGTGGTATTACTCAGGGCGCCAGCTGTAATTTCACTAAGTATAAAACCATCTTGAAATATATCACTGTAAAAGGAACACTTCTAAAGTCTTCTATTTTGCAGTTTTTAAACTAGCAAAATCTGAGCCAGTGTGAAACATGCAGATTGGATCCGCATCAGGTCAAGCCCTTCAGGAGAAAAATAAAAACTTTCTTTCTCAAATGACGGAGAATATTTAAAAAAACCCAGTTGCTCTTGTCCAAAGAAATCCATGTGTAGATAGCAAAGTGGATGAGTTGCACATTAAGAGAAGATAAAGTCAATCATAAAAACTCCGAAGAGAACATACGTAGAAAATTACCTGGCTGGCTGGTTGGTTGCCGTCTTTGTGCAGCAAAAACTCTATTACTAAACTATTTCCAGTTGCCTAAATGTTAGAGAAGATGATTAAAGCCAGACCCATATATGTACACTCAGCCTTTGCAAATCAGTCTGCCCATGAACAAGACATGCTAATCTCATTAGCTTTGCTGACTTTGTTATTTGGGGTTTCTGGACATCAACCATTTCCATTTAAGATGGCAAAAGTATGTAGGACTCCCAGTAGAAAACTCTGATCATTAACACAATTGCAGTGTCTCCACTGCAGCAGTGCACCAGTAAACTTCTGTTGGGTGCTTTTTGCATATACTGAAACAATTCCTCCCAGCCTTGCTAATACCTCACCACCCGTTCATCCTTTTCTAGTGTTTTCCACAACATTCCGAGTACCTGACTCTTCAAACCTTATCCAAAAGCCCTGCTACCTTCATGGAAGTTTTCTTAGTTAATGACTGAATTGAAGTCCCCTTGTGAAAATGCTCTTGCTGCTGTTTAACCACGGCAGTCACCACTGGGCCCCCTGCTTTTCACACTCTTAAGGTCACACTGACTAAAGGCATACCAGGAAAAGTGACTGTTTCTTCTCAACAGTCGCTCACAAGCCCTCAGCACATAGAAAGATGGCTTCTGCTTTCACCAAACCCCTCTGAAGTCCCAGCTGACTCACCTGGGAATTGCACCCAAGGCAGAAAAGCAAAGAGAGATGTCAGCTCAGAGCAGCTGCTGGGGACTCTCTGAAATGAGTCCCTACAGAAAGGGGCAGTGCTGAACCAAAGTGCACAAATGTTAAATGCTCTTGCACCCAGGAGTGTGTTCCTTTCCTTCAGGAAGGTTGCCCTTCCTCTCTGGGTACAAAGGCTCTTCTGCCTCCCTAAAATACCACTGGGTTAACACAGACTCTAAGCCAGGGGGACCTGTTAGAAATATGCCAAAGGCAATATGTCTGGCACTGGAGGCTTTTTGAGGACTGTGGCTCATTGAGGGGCTCTGTCTGCACCAAAGACCATGAAATCCCCTTGGGCACCAGCACAGGGGGAGTTCCTCGGTGCGGAAGAGGAACCTGCTGAGGGGAGTGAGGGGTGCTCACTCCCTCATGCTGCTCCCTGGGGTGGGAGAGTTGCACTGGTTACACTGGCCATCCATCTGCCCGTGGCTCTGGTAGGAGTGTGCTTGTGGCAGCGGGTCCCAGTGGGTCTGGCCCCCTGCACTCCTGCTGCAGCCCAGAGCAGGACCACAGCAGCAAGTGAGCTCCTTCCCCAGTGGTTCAGCTCTCCTCTTGAATGAAGACCCTGACCAGGGCTCTTTAGGAAGCCAGCAAAGCTTGTGCTGAAGCTCTTGAGCAATGACATCAGTAAATGCATTTTTAAAAGTGGATTAAGCCCCTAAAAGAGCTTTTGGAAAGCACACAGCTACGTGTCTACATCTTTAGCTGTCCCAAAACCCCTTTCCTGAGGTGGAGGTATTTCAAGGTCTCAACACCTTGCTGTTGGCACAGGTTTCTACCAGGGGGTCTTCTTCCCTCAGAAGTCCTTGCCAATCCCTGGTTGCAAGT